CATACTGCAGAGGGACTAAATCGAAGTGCCACCAAACAATGGTTCAAGGCTCAGGCCAACAGCCTGAACACAGGAGGAACGGTGCCAGCGCCGAGTGAATGTGGTACTGCAGGAACAGTTTTGTGGAGAGGATCAAACAGTCTCAGTCTACTTGTATCACGTTTTCCAGTGTAAACTACCCACAGCACTTCAGCAAGTGTTTCCTCCTACAGCCAAAGAGAGTTGGTTGTCTTCTCCCATTTAAATCTCATTTTTTAAACCCTCCAATATACACCCTAGATCATTTTAGAAGACTAACTTTAAAGTTCAAGCAGTTTCCATAAAACTAAAACTGCTACAAATGCATTAACAGCTTTTTCCCCTCCTAGGCTAGCACTGACAAGCAGTATCAGCCGCCTGTGTGTATCCATCACTTCAGTAACTGAATTAGCATAAAAGCTGTATTAAGCGATCATAACCGGTGGTGAAAGAAGTGGGTAGAGAAAGTAAAACACTGCCAAAGGGATGCAGAAAAACAGCTAGAAAAATCAGAAATTCATATTGTGACTGAAGAAACATCTTTCCAGAGAGCAACATCTCTCAAGTGTTGTCTGGGAAGAGAGAAAAGCTGGTAGAAGGGACACATCAAAAGCAGTAAGGACCTAATACCACAAAGTCTTAGATATAAATAATCCTTACAGTCTGCTGGCAGTACAAATGCACAATCCCATTTCATTCATGTATTATTTGTAATTGGTTGTACAATAGGGCCCCAGGAATCCTCTTGTAAGCACTGAAGAACAAGAAGTAAGAGCTTAAGACCTGAGATTTTAATGATTTAAAGCATCAGGATAGAAAACCAGGCTTCAGTGCTTTACCCCAGGATTCCAGAAAAGTAACCACTATTTCCCTTCAGAAACCCATCAGAATAACATTAGCAGAAAAATTAATGTGATAATGACTCTCTGAATGGGTGAAAGTTAAGAGTGTGGAACCACATCTATTTTATGCCAAGAAGCTCATCCTGCAGCCAGGAAAAGCGGCCATGGCTGGGCCTGGCGGCACCGCAAGTGCCCATCGGGTGCAAAAAGAAAATGAGAGAGGGGAAATAAAAGAAGAAAATAGGTCTTGTAAATAAACAGGGGATTTCTCCCTCTCTGAAGCACTCTGAGGAGACATCCCCCCACCCCCCCACCACAGTCCTGCATCCAGCTCTGGGGCAACAGCACAGAGAACTTAGAAAGCCTGTACCTGATTTCAGTAAGCTCACAGTTTGCCCTGAGATGCTGCTTAACAAGATCGGCCAGCACTTGCACAAAGGCAGCTTGATGAAGCTACTCACAGCATTTGTAGGAGAAAGTGTCCCACAATTACACCGAGCCTCCCAGGTCTACTAACACGGATTTGGCAGAAAATGGTCCACCACTGTATCTCAGAAGGCAGAAAATCTCAGTATTCAAATGAAACAGTCTCTCTTGGCTGCTCATCTCAGCAGGTAACATGTCACCTTCTGCCAAATCAGTAAACAGAAGTACTTGCTTCCATCAGAGCTCAGTCTCAGTAAGACAGACATGGAAGCACTTAGCAAATAATGTCATGCCGGGACCACGAGTGCTTCATTAATTACTACAAAACTTGTTAAATGGTAGACTACGTTCTGAGCTGACAGCAGCAGCCGTGATCCCGTGGGCCCTCAGATCATGCTCAGCTCTCTCCAACAGACACCAACTACTACAAACCACTGACAGTGGAAAGGGTCACCCTTGCTGTTACACTCAAATCTACTATTATAAATCAGATTTCTATGTAGCAGGAGCTACTGAACTCCATACTGTAAAGCCCTTTATCTACTGCATCCTTTGAGAACCAGTGCTAAGAGTCACATGGCAATTTATGACTCTTCCTAAGCTTCCCTGGATTTCCAGTTTTCCTTCAGCAGCCTGCTTGCAGTGTAAATGCTCCATTAGGAAATGTTCTATTCTTTTATAATCTCTTCACCTCTCATAGCATCTTATATTCACAGCAGAGTTTACTGTCCCATTTGACACATATTCTGCTCTCTTTTTGTCATTACATTTCTCCCCATATGGAAAACTGATCAAACGTGCTGGACTTTATACACTTCAATGTATAAAACATGTAAATATGCTCCGAATACACCCAGAACCCACTCCACGGTCCATCTTAAGCCTCTCAAGTCTTCTCCGTTTGTACTGAGTGGATACGGCCAAGAAGAAAGAATATTTCAGAGCACACTCTTTACTGGGTACCTTTTCAGACAAGGCCTTTAAACTGTCCAGAAACCTCTGCCAGAAATACCTGAAGAGGGGCCGATCAATTCTCTTCAGGCTTTCCTTGGTGCTGGCATCCACGCTGACATACAGCTGCGTCACTGGCTCAAGGTTCCTTAGAAATAAAAACGAGAAGGCAATTGCTGTCTTCAGCCATCACTGCTAGCTGAATTTGTTTTCCTACCAAAGCACACATAAAATACAGGACTTCTAAACAAGCTCTGCTGCTCCAGTAGCGACAGGAACTATCCAGTGTTTACAAGGAAAACTATCCAAGTCCAGAGGTTCATCTCCATCAAGTGACTATCATCTTAATAGCAAGACATTATAACTTAACTTTCAACAAATACACCCCAAAGCTAAGAATATCACACACAGAGGCCTTGGCAGACGGTTCAATTATCTTTTCCTTACTCAACTAAAACATACATCACTCCAGCATTAGCTGTGGCACGCGCAGAAAGGCTTCCCAAAGCAGGCTGCCAGGGGTTACTACAAGGCACTGAAAGGCTCTGCTTCTCCCCATGGTTACAAACTATAAAGCTCAGCCCCTTCCCCACATTCTATTTGCTCTGGCTAATGGAGACATAATCCCATTCGAGAGAACTGCAGCCATCATTCAGCTGCTTTCTACTGCCGGACACACTGAACTCACCTGGCCTGCAGCTGCCATCACTCAAGTACTTTTTGGAAGGGAAATCAAAGCTGCTTAGAAAATGAAACCAAACACAATTCCCCAGCATGTTCTCCTTCCACTTCCAAGGCTCTTATCTTGTATAAATCCCGCACTCCAGTCTTTCTGGTCACAGAACGCCAGTGAGCACAGCATCTGTGAGCCCAACAGCAGAACCTTCTAAAAAGATTAAACCTCCTCTGAGAGTGTGAAGAGCCTGGGTAGAGTCTAATCCCTTCTGTAAACTCCAAGGGTATAAAGGAGAAGCAGCACCACTGCAGACCATTGGCAAACAGATAACGATGGACATTAAAAGGAACAACCTAAAACAACCTCCCTTGTCACAGACAAATCTGATCAAGCCAGTGAATGTAACACACCTCCACCCTTCATGGCATCTTCCGTGGAATGATGCATCCTAATTGTACCACGTATCTCTTCAGCTCTCCACGCTTTCAGGACATTTTGCAAGCGTTATTTGGGAAGTCTCTTAATGAACAGGCTGCTGTCCCAGCTTCATTTAGCTCTTTAGACAAGAAGAAATTAGAAACTATTGTTCAGCTGCCAACAGTGACACCTAAAAATACACCACCCTCTGCCCTCCCCAGAGGTGAGAAAGGGACAAGAAATTGTCCAGAATGAGACCAAGCATCCAGGAAAAGCCACTTAACATGGACACTCAAACAACCTCTCTGAACACATTCTGCCTGTATTTAGAAGCATGAAATAGCCCAGAACAAACGCAACATTTTAGGTTTTAATAAATAAAACCAACTGTTTTGCAAAGAAGCTTGTCTGGCCTTGCAGCCCAAAGCCACAACCTCAAAAATGATCAAGTGTTCTAGGAGTGAGTGGATTGAAGTATTCAGTTTCAAAGTACATGGCCAAAACACTCTTTTCTTTTCTTTCCATGGCCAAACGTTCATTCTGTGCTGACTGTGTTGCTGCGCAGCAGAGACCATGTTCTGGACTGATTGCATTCAAATGCTTTTCATGTGTGAAAGTGAGCAGTGAAAGCAATGATGGAGCCACCGATGCAATGGTGATTGTGTACTGAACAGGACCAGCACCAGCTTTCCCTGCTGGCCCTTCTGCTGTGGGAGCAGATGCCAAACGTTCGTGGTATACTCACTGTGCCAAAACACTCTTTTCTTTCCTTAATGCTGCATTTGCCCAATCAAAAGGGGCTCCAGGGAAAATGGAGCGAGTGTTTTCAAAACATGAGCTGAGAAAAGTCACCTCTTCTCCGAGGATCTCGATCCTCAGGACAGGCAAGAGCCAGACTCACTGTTGTACTGGAGAAAATTAAGGAATTGGAAGAGATCCCAGGGAGGGATTTCTGCCCCACGTTGCTCCAAAATGGAACGGTCCACAGGGTTCTGTTATGGCTCAAACTGGAGTGACGCTGACCTTGTGCATGTTCTGCCATAGGGGAACGAGGAGAAAGGGCACAAACTGATGCTCCTGGAACACAGCTACGTTTCATACTCAGCAGGAAATACTGTTGCATAGTACTAGGATGGATTTTCCAGCGTTCCTCCTACTTTATCGGTTGTCATTTCCAATCTAGCTGAGATCAAATTCACTGCATTACCACATCTGAACTCGGGTAGTGATTTCCGACTGAGTAGCACAGCACAACTCAAGAGCAATAAATTGCTCTCAGGCCTCCAGCCATGAGGGGGATTCCCCAGCCAGTCAGGAGACAGCCTGGGTCAAGGAGATAAAGAACAGAAACAGAGAAAGAGGACTCAAGCCAGTAACTGCTCAATACATGCTCATGTGCTATAAAACCTCCTGTGTGTGCCTGGAGACAGATGAAGCTGCACTCATAGAATCACAGAATCACAGACTGGTTTGGGTTGGAAGGGACCTTAAAGCTCATCCACTTCCAACCCCCTGCCATGGGTAGGGACATTTTCCACTAAAAGACCAGGTTGCTTCAAGCCCCGTCCAAACTGTCTTCTGCAGTTAGAACAAAGATCAGACTGCAAGAGAAGCTCACAAATGAAAAAGGCAATTTACAAGCCGAGACTCCTGCTCTGGCTCTCAGAAACACTTGCACTAGTTATCATCCATGTCCCCAAGCCCAATACGCAGCTCACTCGCTCTTCTTCCGCTGTACGTCCAGGAGGTACTATATTATATCCTCTTCCTTTTCAGAGGTAACCCCACTTTAAGAGATACAGAAAGGAAAAATCAAACTGGTAGAAAAAGGGATGAGAAAGAGCATGGGGAGACAAAGGTTAAAATCAAATAGATGCGATACTGAGTGGGCTTTTTCACTGTCAGCACAGAGCTGATTGATGAGCAATAAGTGGAATTAAAACACAAGTCTGCACTCAAATGTTTTAGTAGGGAGGTATTTTGTCCATCTCTTACCTAATCTCATCTGGGAACGGTGCATTTGTAACCAGGAAGGTAGAGATGCTGTGCTGGTGCAGGAGCCTCACAAACCGGTTGATCTCCGGGTACATGATGGGCTCTCCCACCAGTGACAGTGCGCACTGCTTTGCGGTCATTGCTTCCTCAAAGCGAGCTGCTTGTAATCCTGAGACGCCTGCAAATAGAGGGAAAAACAGGGTTCTGTTATGGCTCGAACTGGAGAAAAACAGGCTTAAATCAACTACCACCCCCACCCAAACCATGCATCTGTATCGAAAATAAACCCTGGCACAAGGAAGACAGAGCAAAACCAGCTGGAGCCCTCCTCAAGGGGAAGGGACAGCAGGGCACAGCCAGTGTCCATCAACCCACAGCACAGAGTATGCCCAGATACACGGAGCTTGGGATTTTGTGTGTCCTGTGAACTACTGCAAGTAATCTTCTAGTAATGTTTGAGTCAAGCTTTCCATTGCTATCACCTCAGTGAAGCTGCCTGGACGCTGAGACGGAAACACGGGAGAAAGTTTAATGCCACTTGACATAAGTGTCTTGAAAAGGAAAAGCAGGGTATGCCTGCTTCTGCTGCTGACCCACATGGTCCCAACAGCCCCAGAGGGAACAGCTCCCCAAGAAGCTGGGCACACTCCCCACACAAAGCACCAACAACCAGGTCCAAATCCATACTGGTGTCGTGGTTTAAACCCAGTCAGGTAATTCGTTCACTCACTTCCCCCCCCCCTTTCTTGCCCTCCCCCTGCTCTCGGAGGGATGGAGAGGAAAATTGAAAAGAATGCAACTCCCACGGGTTGAGATAAGAACAGTTTAGTAACTAAGGTATAACACAAATCACTACTGCTTCCACCAATTATAATAATGATAAAGGAAATAACAAGAGAATACAACACCTCACCACCAGCCGACCGATAACTCGCCCCCCCCAGCCCGACCAAGCTCCGACCGATACCTCCTCCAACCCTGCAGTCTCCCAGACCTTCCGGCTAACTCCCAGTTACCTCCTGAGCATGACGTGCTGTGGTATGGAATACCTCTTTGGTCAGTTTGGGTCAGGTGTCCTGTCTCTGCTTCCTCCTGGCTTCCCCTCCTCCCTGGCAGAGCATGAGGCTCACAAAGTCCTTGGCCAAACCAAAACATCCTATCAGCTCTGTTCCCGAGCTGAAAGTCAAAACATTGCACTGCACCAGCTACCAAGAAGGAGAAACATGACTGCTACTGCTGAACCCAGGACAACTGGCAACCACATGAAATGCAACTCCACAGAGGATGTATTCAAGAAGAAAACCCACCACGTGACACCATCCTGAACAGCAAGAGACGTTCCAAGAACAAAAAGAGGAAAACACCAGGAGCTCAACTGCAGCATCCATGTGAAAGTGCTGTCTGCAGGCTTAACCAACCTGAGCCACGTGTTGCGCCCATCAGAGGGCAGGGAAGAGGCAAATGCTCCTCCTGGAGTCCTCAGTACAGGAAAGACATGAACCTGCTGGAGAAGCTCCAGAAGAGAGCTCCCAAAATTATCAGAGGGCTGGAGCAGCTCTGCTCTGGAGACAGGCTGAGAGAGTTGGGCTTGTTCAACCTGGGGAAGGCTCCAGAGAGACCTTATTGCAGCCTTTCAGTTCTTAAAAGGGGCCTATAAGAAAGATGGGGAGAGACACTTTGGCAGGGCCTGCTGCGATAGGATGAGGGGTGATGAGTTTAAACTAAACAGGGAGATTCAGGCTGGATGCGAGGAAGAAATTTTGTACAATGAGGGTGGTAAAACCCTGGCACGGGTTGCCCAGAGAGGCGCTGGATGCTCCATCCCTGGAGACATTCAAGGCCAGGCGGGATGTGGTTCTGCCAGCCTGATCTAGTTGAAGATGCCCCTGCTCATTGCAGGGGGATTGGACAAGATGAGTTTTGAAGGTCCCTTCAAACCCAAACCATTTTGTGATCCTATACCAGACCACGTGTTCAGATATGAAATCAGCTGCCTACAAATAAGCTTTTGTTCTAAATATGTCCCTGCATGTTTCTTTGACATGCCTCAATGTATTCAGATAATATCAGAGGGTTTAGATGGGAGATTGGTCTGTTTTAAAGAAACCAAAGCCTTGAGTTTCAAACCAGGTCCTCAGCTCACCTTGTGTTGCCTAGAAGCTGGAGCTCAGGCAGTACAGAAAACTATAGGCTATGCTCCAAAGCCCAGATAAAAAGAAGTGTTGGTGGATATTGCTTCAGCCTCACATAGAAAAACTGGTCTGTGATAAGAGCAGAACTTGGTGCATGATAAAGCAGCCACACTCAGCCCTGAAGAAGTGACAGGACTAATGGTTAATGCTGCACAAACCTGACAGTACTAAATGAGACCTTCATTTGAAAGGAAAGCAGCATCTCAACCACACACTGAGATTAAAGGATAACTTTCCTTTTCCTAAAGCTACTTGAAGGTGGCTTTGAATTTAATTAATTTCTCTCCCTCAGCACCCTGCCACTGGACAATGACAATCACCCTGTGCCAGCTTTAGAAGCAGACAGAAAGTAATTCCAACAACATGTAAAGTTTGAGTCACTTTCTCAGAGCAGTTGACATCAAATGTAGCATAGGGGACATACACTGCGGAGAGGGCAGAGGTTTTGTAGGAATCATTTGACTACACAAATCACAAGATAGACAGGGATAAACTAAAAAAGGATTAGTGTGTATTCCAGGGAGTGTGTGAACTCCCCTGCACTTCGGGCTGCCATACCACTACAGCTGTCAACCTCTGCTCCTGCAGATGAGCGTCCTCCTGTCTTCAGTCAATGCACTTCAGCAAAGTCAGAGCCTGGGCAGATTTTGGAGGGCATGAAGCAGGCCCAAGGCAGTGCAGGAACTTGGAGCCATAGGAACATGAGTACCATCTACAAGAGGCCATGGTGTACAGCTTTCAGCTGCTGCTCAAGCTCAGTTCTCAGCAGAGCATGCAGCCATGCCTCCTTTGATCAGCACAGCTCCTCTGAAGAGCTGATCCCAGCTGCTCTCCTACTGGTGTGCTTTCATTTGGGGGAAAAAAGCAGCATCTGGCACATCTGCCTAGAGAGGCTGGTCGGTGACTTCGGGTACCAGCCATCACAAGTGACTGGGGAGACAAGGAACTGGTTTTACCCACTCTTACACCAACACACACAGGTAGCCTTAGGATTTCCTAGTTCAGGTCATGCATTTTTGTTTGGGTTTTCACTTTTCCCAAGTGGAACCAGGGCTGTATTATCAGACACTGCCCATCTCGTAACTTTTAATTACATTTCCATTCTGTGTGTGCCCTTCACAAGGGAACAGAGATTTACCAGCCACTACCTACAAAATGCATCCAACAAATAAACTGCTTCCCACTCTTCCACCTTAGCTCCCTATCAGCAAGATGTCTCCCCAGCCATTAGCCTAAAAGAATGATGTGATGTTAACCACCACCTTCAAAAACAGTGCACGCTTTGGCAACAATAAAGATAGCAACAATAAAGATGGCAACAAGAAAGATGGCAACAAGAAAGATGGCAACAAGAAAGATGGCAACTCTAAAAGCATGCACAGAAGTTCTTAACAGGACATAAGGCTACTCTCTAGGATATCCTACAGGACACATGGTCCCCAAGACTTCTATTCCTTCAAAGAAGATCTCAATTTTACTGCACTGCGTGGAATTAATCTTGGAATCCCAGACTGATTTGGTTAAAGCTCATTCAGTTCCAACCCCCTGCCACAGGCAGAGACACCTTCCACCAGAGGAGATTGCTCCAAGCCCCATCCAACCTGGCCTTGAACACTGCCAGGGATGGGACAGCCACAGCTTCTCTGGGCACCCTGTGCCAGCGCCTCAGCACCCTCACAGGGAAGAATTTGTGCCTAATCACTAATCTCAATCTACAAGAAATAACAAACTCACAAAGAGTTCCTATGGGAAGCAAAGTGCAGGACTTGGTGCTGTGTAACTGCTGCTTCGGTCACAAACAGATCTCCTCAATAATTCCTGAAAATAAAAGTGCTCATCCATTAATGAGAAAAACACAATCCCCAAGTTTCAGAGCGAACACAAAGCTCTCAGTGGATTAAGCTTGGGCAGTGTATTTCCTATCAGGTTACAGGGTGATTCCTTTTGCCTTCTGCCTGCCCACACTTTTCCATAAGAATCCACATTCCTCAGCACCCAGGCTAGCCTCAAGCACTGTGGAAGCCTCTGTGCACTCCAAATAAAATGATATGACAATTACCACGACCCACAAGAAGCAACTCCACACTAATCCCTTAAGGCAGCAGTAGACACCCAATGGCTGACTCATGTTCTAATGTCAAAACCAAGGCAGAACACCTCAGAAAACAAGGTGTGCCACAACAGTTTCTTCTCACCTCTTTCTCCTATGACGAATCTCATGCCTCCTTCCCAGCAATTCATAGAATTATAGAATTATTTAGGTTAGAAAAGCTCATCAATCCCAACCATCAATTCCACACTGCCAAGACCACCACTAAACCACACCCCTGAGTGTCACCTTTTTAAATGCCTCCAGGGATTTGCTTCGAAGATGCTGATGCTGCTTATCTTCCAAAAGCATCACTCACAGGGAAGAAATGGGAAAAGTTACCTTTGAACTGCTTGATCATATTCTGATGGTTCTCAATAGCCTCCTGCAAGATCATTTCAGGTTGGTCCATCTTCCATTGCCACTCTGTGCCCACTGGATTTGTATGATGTCTGAAGGAAAAGACAGACAGAGTTATGCACTGCCATTTGTAACACACATGGGAAGGACCCATCTGACACCTTAGGGACTTAGACACAGTTTAATAATATTAAAGGCAACAAGAAATTCTCAGTAATACCCTGCTTCTGACACAGCTTTCATATGTCGTCTCTGAACACCTAGGCTCTGGTTCCCCCAGAAGGAAGAATGGACCTCACAGTTTATATGAAACTTGATATACCTATCTTGAATCACAGGTAAAAGGTCTTTAAGCCAAAACGATGCTCTACAGCAAGAAAGACCTCTGCAAAGAAAGAAGAGGTTCTACCTCCATTTGAGACCACAGCTATACATATCACTAGAAAAGAAAGGTCCTAAGGCATTGAGCTGAGATGTTAAGCAGTTCTTCCCTGTGAGGCACTGGCACAGGGTGCCCAGAGAAGCTGTGGCTGCCCCATCCCTGGCAGTCTTCAAGGCCAGGCTGGAAGGGCTTGGAGCAATCTCCTCTAGCGGAAGGTGTCTCTGCCTGTGGCAGGGCGTTGGAACTGGACGAGCTTTAAGGTTCCTTCCAAGACAAACCATCTATGGGTTTACAATTTATGCCAAGCCTAAGGTGTACATAAAGCAAGCCTTGGGATGTGTCTCAAACTGAGCCTTAAGTCTTCCAACTCAACAGAGGTCCGAGAAGAGCAAACAGCTGCAGTCCATATGGAAGAAAAACAATTGCAGCCCGTTTCACAGGAGGTAAATAAATGAGAATATTTTTCAGCTCAGTCCCCTGCAAAGCTGTTTCACTCATACAGGTTGTTGCCATTAGTTAAAGAAGCATTCCAGCTTTCATTATCATTAGGGCTACTGTTTCCACATTTCCTCTTAAAAGTGACCAATGACAGTTAGGGGATGATGAGGCAGAGGCACCTGGAAGGTATCATGCATGGAGATTTATCCCAGCTACTCCACTGTTCAATTGACACTTGTCTGACTTCCTTGGTTCAGCCCCATACTCCAGACACAGGCTGCTGCTGCTGCCAAGTAATACCGAGTGGGTCATTTTGAGGGGAACAGTGTTAAATGGCCTGCAGTGCAACATCAGGAGCAAAATTCCTTGCTCTGACAACGTTATTGCTTTCTATTTGCTGTTTATGATGTACCTGCTGTGGAGGGACAGAGGGACAAAATGCATGGCAATCCTCTCCCTACCAGTCCAGTCACCACTGCAGAATTAAATGCACCACTGCTAGCTGATACATGAAAAAAAAGGAAGACAAAAGACACAAGCAGTACGTTTTCCTTCCCAGCCATTAAATTGCTCTGAAGAAAAGCAGCAAAAGTTGCACATTAAACTTGCTATTTGCTGTGTTTGTTCAAACCAGGATACGATCAAAGCCCATCAAAAGCCCCAATTAACATTTCAGAATACAAACTTCACAGGATGACCAGTGTCTAACGCTTACACCTAACACTAACATGGGACACAGCTTCTCCAAAACTGTCTCCAAAATTCTAGCAGTCCTTCTGCACTAATGCTGCCATTTCAATACCCTCATGAAGTATTTCCATTGTTAAAACTTGAGGACTATGAAACAGAAAAAGTGGGGTTCAGGAGGAATTTGCCTGGGATTGCATGCACACTCATTCTTTGGGATGGAATGGGTATTTCTGGCAACCAGGTCCCTGGGGAAGGCGTGAATACCAGAGGAAGCACAAGCCCCATCGTATGAGTTAGCTGGCAAGACAAAAGAGCTCAGAGAATAACCTCCACGTCCTCCCACTCAGCGCACTTTCACGTCACTGAGTTTGGTTTTGCTGAGTGTCTCTCACCAACCCCATCCTGCGCTCTCCCAGCCTGGCAAAACCCTCCCTTGGCAGCCCAGTGAGTGAGCACCGCTGGAGCTGCTCGCCGCTCCCATCCAGGCAGAGCTCATTGCCTTTAGAGAACTAACACAGTCATTCCCCTAAGAAGAGGGGTCACTTTACTGACTAGAATGGAAAGTCATCTAGGAGAGACTGCTTTAGGAAGGCAACAGTTACCAAGTCATCACTTTTCACTCGCTGAGACTGCAGCTGAATTGGTGGGGATGAAGGTACCTGAAGTAAGAAAAACGGTCCAATTTCAAACCAAAGATACTCATGTTGCTTTGCACCTTGGTGGCTTTGCACAAGATGGGCCAGCCCATGCTCTCTAGAGCACCAGGAGCCACATGGAATCTCAGACAATGATCTCCAGAGGGAACCAAACCTCTACCAAGTGGGAATTGCAGAGCAGTACACGGAGAGGTGTGTGTCTCCTGCATCCCCAATTCCTCCTTCACTGGTTCTCAGCCAGTCTGACAGAGGACACAGCTCTAGGGAAGGTAGCACCTCCTCAGCCTCCCAGATGTGGAGCCCAGCCACCCAGCTCGCATCTGACCATCCCACACCCATCCTCCTCGGCCTCGGAGCATCGACTAACAGCAGAGAAAGACACAAACAAATTCCAAGAACATTAAGCTGAGTGCAGAGCTTTAAATCTGCTCCCCAAGCACATCTGCAGTTTTCAGTCACTAAAAACCTGGGTGTCCAAAGTCACCTGGGACACACAGTGCAAGCAAGAGCACGTCGCAGAGCAGCTCAGAATGATGACAGATGCACCCTGGGGGAAGAAGTCCATAGCACACAGATCATGGAATCACGGACTGCTTTGGGTTGAAAAGGACCTTAAAGCTCATCCAGTTCCAAGCCCCTGCCAAAATGTGACAATGGTACCTTTCAATCTACCTTCCTCCACCTGAGGAGTCCTGGTGATCCAAAGGGAAGTCTTCACTGAGCAGTGGGGAAAGAACACGCAGGTGACCCCTGACAGATGCACAGCCTTGCTGTGCAGATGGAAAATTAAACAAAATGGGAAATGCTGCTTATTCCACCCATTCCTCAAACAACAGAGACTTCAGGAGATTCACAGATTCGAGGAGACCAAGGTCAGGTTGGACAGGGCTTGGAGGAACCTGCTCTAGTGGAAGGTGTCCCTGCCCATAGCGGGGAGTTGCAGCTGGATGAGCCTTAAGGTCCCTTCCAACCCAAACCACTCTACGATTCTATGAGATTCTGGATTTCGTCAAACAGGCAAATCAACACTCACCCTAAAATTTGCAGCTTTTAGGCTGTTTCCCAGCATATGACAGAACACAATCTTTTTAATCTGAGCTACCACTATGAAACTCAAAACTAATGCTTCCAGCCCCGCTCCTGCTTTCACCCCATACAAACCCCAAACAAACCTCCTGAAGATACTCACATATTGGTGTGAATCTGAGTCAAAGCCACTGCCTGTAACCAATGTCAGTGTCTAGAGCACTTGACATTCAATTCCTGCTTTAGCTCCTCACGCCCTGGGGATGCAGCCCAGCACACAGGAGGGTTCTGGGCTCAAGCACACACTGAAGCCAGGTCATGGGGAGCTTCTCGTCACCCAAATCCCCAAGTCCTTCTCCTCAGGGCTGCTCCATCCCATCCCCACTAGACTGTGGTCACAGTCCCACAACAACAGGTTCAAATGCCCTCGTGTGCCCATTCCAGGGGAATGACAGACTGCAGCATCTTTGTTTCAGGGACCTCACAGTGGTGATGAAACCTTCCCACTTCTGTGTGGTGTTCTGCTCCTGCTGTGTACCTCAGGAGGCAGGAGTTACTTTAGCAGACAGCAGAATAACAGGAAAAAAACAACAGAAAATTATATCCCCAGCTCTTGGCCACAGCCACATGCTCACTCTTCGCAGCAGGATTTTAATAGCTTGAAATGTAAAACTACAGCTTGGAAGATGAAATTTGGTTTCATTAATGTAATACTGCTTTTTTTAAACAATATTTCATTTGGAAATCGTACTACCTGAGTAAGTGTCTACTTTTTTAATTTCAATTTAGAAAGTGAAAGAAGAAAAGAGAGCATTTACCTTTGTCCATCGGCAGAGCTTCACCCCAGAATGGCTCCCAATCAGCTTGTAACCTGGAAACCAACAAAACAATAATCAAACTATTGATTGGAACCTGCAATAACTCAAACACAAAACATGCCAATTGGTACACCAAATTATTCAGCATCGCAGTCTCAGCACCGCTCTTTCCCATTGGCCCAAGGTGATGCTACCCAGTGCCCACTCACAGTATTTTCCATTTCCTTCTGGGAGCACAGGGGAGCAAAGGCCATGGCTGCCCAAAGGGCTTCAGACAACTTGGAACACTTTCTCCTCACCGCATATTTAGTTATATTGCTCTGTCTTGCTTGAATCAACAGAGGGTGGCCAGAAGACTTCTCCATGTGACAGGAAGGCAGACTAACAGGTCTAGCCTCTTAGCGGAACGTGGAACACCTCCCTGACCCCAGGGGGTTAGGATATGGGAAGGACCAGGACAGGGAACCAGAAGCGTCTCCCCCCATCCCTAAGCCATCATCCCAGAACAGACTGTTCCCCAGAACCACAGAGACCTAATTCCCACTGCTTCTTGGTAGGTCTGACCAGCCTGGAGGACATCTGATTCAGCAGGGAGGGCAGAAGCAATGAACCACAATGCAGGGCTCAGCTTGAACCCAGACTTCACAGGTTCACCAGTTCCACCTCCACTGCCCTTGAAGGAGCTGCAGAGAGGGAGCCGTTGCGTTATGCCCAGAGGAAAGCTGATTTCGCATCACTTCCCTGCTCCTCAACCAAGATCAATACAATTTCATTTCAACTTATTAGCCCAGGAAGATTAATTCCACAGCATTTGTTAAGCACTAAGCACTATTACTACCCAAACTGCTTGAGTTGGGCTCTTTTTCTCTTTGAAAAACGTGCCTAGGGACCAATATGTCTGAAGGATTAAAAGTCACTTCAAAAACCAGCATAAAAATAAGAGGGATTTGAGCAGCCTGACTGTGTCATCTGAAGGATTAAAAGTCACTTCAAAAACCAGCATAAAAATAAGAGGGATCTGAGCAGCCTGACTGTGTCATTCCCACTGCAGCACTTACACGTCGATGGCCTGGCTGTCCCCAAACCAGCACATCTCAACTGACAGCTTTAGGCTGACATTTATATTAACGCTTTCAAGAGAAAAATCGACTTCTAGGTATCAAGTCTCCTTCCTGCCAAGCAGCATGAAATTAACAGGGGAAAAAAGCCTTCTGCTCACCAGAACTGCCCATCATCTCCTACAGCAAGTAGCACAGTGAGCCTGCTCATATGTCACCATGTGTCTCTTGCATGGTGAGGTCCCAGGGGAGCGTGACTGCGCCCCAAAGTCCCCCACAGCTCCGAGGACACTAAGCCATGAACTACAGTGAGAGCTGCACCAGCTCAAAATTAAACTGTGTGAAGATGAAGATGTCTGCATGGCTGAGGACACTCCTGTCTCCTCACACTGGTTCTATCCTTGCAGGGGTTAGGACAGAGGCAATTTTAGCCTGACCAGTCCCCCGAAGCAACTCTCCAGGAGACTGTATGGACAGCACAGGGGGAGTGGCTGCAGGAGCAAGCAGTGGGGCTCCCCTGTTACATGGCAAAGGGGCCAACTGCCCCATTAAGCAGGGCTTTGGGGACATCAGTGTCAGGCTGCTCCTATGTCCTGAGATCCTTCTCCCCATCCAGCTCCGTGGGAATAGACAATATTCCAGCCTTTTCCTCCCTAAATGAATAAAGCCCTATACAGCATGGAAGAAAGAACTACTGCAAGCCAAAACCAGCCTTAGTATTCCATATGGCCCATCATTCAGTCCTCTCCTGGAGAAAGACATCAGCACTTCTAATAGGGAATTTATAGTCTCAAAAGCCAAATGCGACACTGGGGACACCTTTATCTATGACTGCATGAGACCCAGAAGACCCTGTGGCAACTTCTGACCGACACTACACTTGGAGGGACAGCCAAACACACAACTGCATTTGGCTGCATCACATCATCTCTCCCACCCGCAGTCTGTCCTACTTATTCCTTCAGCATATCTTTGCAAACAGGCTTGTCCAGCAAGGTCTAATCTCAGCTGAGACCTCCCTGTGCACCTCAAGTTTGTGTCCTCGCAGGATTTCTTGACAAGAAAACTTTGCCAAATGTGAAAAGGATGCTGCATTCCTGCTCCCTCTACTACAGCTGCCCAAAGCAGGCTCCTTGCTGATGGCAACCAGCACAGCCCCAGCCTTATTTGTTCACTTTTCAGAATCAGCAACAGCATTCATGTAAGATCATTCTCTCACAGATCTCTTGTCAGTAGAAGTAAGACGACTGCTTTAAAATGGGGTTTAGGTTAAAATTAAATTGGAAACAGGACATGCTCACCCAGATCTGCTACCCAGTTGTATGACGGAAGAGATGAAGCAGCTAAACTGAGCAAGGTGTCAAGCTCTTTAGTTACTTAAATCAACTTCCACCATGTGGAGAGCCCACAGCTTCCTCTGAAGGCCAAGAAAATTGGACCTATTCAATATCAAAACAGAGTCTTACAAACTTCAGCCAGCTTTAGTGACGAGAAGGGGTTTACTCATTTTGCTTGCTGCTGCCAGGAGTCTCAGCTATGGTTACAAGAAGAAACAGCACATACTTGCAGAACTTCAAAACCACTATGCAAAGCCGTTGAACTTGGGCCTTCACCATGGAGGTAACTGACAGAAAGGGTGGTGACCCTGCTAAGCCACCACAGTCAGCACTGGCCACCCCATGCGTCTTCAGACTTGGAAGTTAGATAAATTAAATCAATCAGAACAGTTGTTACACATCTGCTCTAAGGGAGCAGAGTCTCTCCAGCTCTGCAGAGCCTCTTTCTTCAAGCAGTTGCTTTACGGCTGGCTTGCAACACAGGCAGCCAGGGCAGTCTGGGCTCAAAGAAAGTACAAAGGTTGAAGTGAGATCAAGCAGTGCTAAGTTCCAAACCAAACATGTGAGGACGCGTGTCCAAGAATCAGTCTGAGGGCCTTCTCAGTTCTGTTTCCCCACTGCAGCTTCTGCTGAACAACCCTTGCGAAAGCTCAGGCCAGCTCATCTCTTCCACCACCTTTGCCACAACTTCACCGGGGCTCTGCCAAGGGAAATGATGGGGAAAAAAAAAAAATCAAACCTTACCAATGGTCCAGAACTCTGAACCTGCCAGGACTCCCCATGAACACGTTCACTTCTCTGCTCTTAAGGCATTACTCATAAGCAATCACTCTGAGTATTTGGATACAACACCCTCCAAACAATACAGACTGTTGTCTCCATGGGACTCTGCTCACCGTCCTGATGCACCTTCAGATATTAAGGCTGAACAAACACAATCCACTTATTGTTTCTAAAGCCCAATATTCAAAGGAATACTTAAATTATAAGCAGGCTGACAGTAATCAGCTCAAGTCCTGACTAAAGTCTTATCTAAGTCTGCATATTAGTTGATCCTGCTCTAGATGATAAACTCTGAATGACTTAGAAGTCTGCCAAGCTTCACCAAAGTTGTCATTTTATTTACTACAAGAAGACATGAATTAAGATTTTGGGTGAAGGGAGTGTTATCATGCAGTAACACTAAGCTGATAAACATTTGGTGATTGCTGGCCCTGACAATCCAACTGGACTTTAATAAGCCATGGGCAGATTTTGAACTGAAGAGACTGCCAGCACCACAGATGCTGACTGCTCCCTGGTATGGGGCAAAACATTTCTGTGACCATTGAAACTGCATCGCAGCATTTCAACTCTGTATTGGAAATAACAGTCCCTAAATACCAGTCCTTTAAAAGTCCTTTCACTGAAATTCAAAGAATTCATTGAGGGACCCTGTAGTACTCTCAGCCACAGAGGTAGGATACTGCCAACTACATACCCGTGTCGTGTTCCAGGCTATCCAAGGTACTCTGGTTTTGATCGCTTACCAGTACCATACCCATAGCATGTCCTTCTAAGCTCCTGAATACGTATGAATTTTGTGCATATGCGAGCTATTATGCTATTTTAGTTTTTCAAGCGGAACAGATAAGTCAAATTTCTACAAGTACAACTTGGGAACTGCTTTTGAGGACTGCTGACTATTTGATTGTGGCAAAATGTCCAGAAAGAAACCCAGAGACACTTTCCAGTTCAGATCTCTACATCACCAAAAGCTGCTTTACAGGCAAGCCTTTGAAAGCACAGAGCAAAAGATTTAATTATAAAAGAAGGAAGTAGAGGAGTGGTTAAAAAAAAATCCTCAAAGAGTACAAGAAAAGAGACTTACCCATCCTCCTCTAAGAGTGCAGTCACCATTAGCCTGGTGAAAGCCAGTCTGGTGTCACATTGTCTTCACAAACTCAAATGACTTTCAGAAGGCTTTTCCTCCAAGTAACACAGAGCTGGCAAATCAGTGTGGTTCTATCAAGCCATCGCCTTAAATAAAAGCTGCCTTGTTTGAAGCACTGATTATTTGTGGAAGCTGAAACTCGGTGCAGAAAGGGGAACTTCACACTAGGAGACTTTACAGGCAAAAAAAGATCCCAGTTTTCTGCAAGAATGCAGTTTAAAAGGGCCTGAGCTGAAGTCACTGACACACAGCAGTAACCCATCACCACTGATTTAAGGTGCATTTTGCAAGTGGTAGCACAACTCCTACACTAGAACCACCACCCAAAAGGCAGTGTTCTGCTAAAGCTAGAAAATTAGTAAGGAAAAGAAAACACGAAATACTGTTGTTGAAAGGAACCCGTTCAAACTATATCACTATTTTATACAAATATAGAAAGAAGTGGAATCTGGGCACTGGAATTTTTCAGATTGCCCAAGCATGATGGAGAAACACCCAGCTTCATTCCTAGCTCTGCTCAGACTTCAAGAAAATGCTTTTAAAAAGCACAAAAGCCTTGTGATTTGCGGAAGGACTTGCTTCCATTAACTCAAAGCGGGACAGAAGACATGAGACAAGACTGCAGTCAAAAACATTACAGCATTTCATTCTCCAAGTGGCCACTTCTACAGACCATAAGAAAAGCACAGTTTCATTCACTGCCCAAAACCAAACCAACACAGACGGGATCAGAAAGTGAACCAGTGTGAAACACCCCTGTGACTGCCACGGCGCAAAGAGCCAGCACAGACCCTGCACCACAGAACAGCCAGGGCAGTCTCCCCAGCCCACCTCAGGTCCCTGTGTGTCAAAGCAACACCTGAGCTGCCTGGAGGACTTGGTGCCGCTCCAGCTTCTGAAGCGGGGGACTTGCTGCAAGACAAGAGAACTTCCCTCCCCACTGCCCAGTTCTAGACAGCCCTGTCTCCAGCAGCCCACTCCAATGACCATGGGCAAACACATCACCAGTCACTTACAAAAGCTCAGGCTCCAATCTTGGGGAGCAAAGGTGTTGGGATCCCACAGCTGCCGGACTCACACAGGACATGGAAAATCAGAGCCCAGCTCTGAAGCAAGGTGCCTCCACTGCAATAACAGAACTGTGTTCTCAGCAGCATCAGGAGACATTCTACTGATTTAGCAAGCAAGAAAAACTGAACGTATTCTCATCCTAAGAAAGAAAAGACATTAAACTAAACTGCCTTCAGTCTCCAGCTGAACAGAAGCTCCATCACCCTTCTCCTGGATCTGCCACTCAGAACTGAGGCTTCTGAACTGCAGGGCCCTCAGTCCAGCTCTTCTCAAGCTTGTCCTCCTCTGTTTTGAAAAGGCCATTAAGTTCTCTACAGCTTGTTCAAAGGCCACTGATCTGATCAGCACTGGATTGGTAAAGCTCATTTGAACTACCTTCTTCTCTGGAAACAAAGTTTCAGTAACAAAATCAGAGTTTGAAACAGAAGTAAAAGCAGGGGCACAGCCGATCTTTAAGTATTTTTTGAGGAACACACACTTTTGGAGCTGAAGGCATGTGGACCATCATCTTCTCCCCCAAGCTGCTTAGCAGCTACATTAAACCCTTTGAACTCTGAAACACTCACCACACTCAGAGTGCATCACACTCAGATGTATTACCCAGCTTCAGGCTCCTTCCCTGCAAGGATAAGGTACCAACAGCCCCTGCCTAAGCCCTGTCCTGCCCCTGCTCAGAGCCTGCCATGACTGAGGGTCCACAGCAGTACCTCTAACAAAGAACACCGCCTGTCACTTGGCTTGCTAAAAGTCCACCACTAAGACTTCAAAGCCTGGGCCACCATCTGCTCTTTGCAGAACCTCACCTTGTTTTGTGAGCGCTTCTCTCAGAGCTGGGCTTATCATCTCTCGCTTCCCACCCTCCTCCTTCCTCCCAGCGTTCTCTTGAGTCAAGCTCATTCCAACACCTCCTTCCTCGAGCTCACGTTCTCTCTGTTTCAAGACAAGGAATTACAACCATTTAGATCCAAGCATCACAGTTTAAATGCTGGGGCACAGTTCAGCCACAGACCTGCTGAGCTTAAAACTGACACGAGTGTCCACGCATTAATTCTTGCATTCCTGTCATTCTGCTTTTTACCCCTCTTCCCATTGGACTCTCACCTTTCAGTTTTAGATTTAAGACAGAAAATATACTAATAAATAAATAAATAAATAAATCACCACACCAGAAACCAGGTGGACTTGTTCTACTAACACAGCAACCAGCTTCAAGCAAGCTGGGCTAGTGGAAGGTAGGTGGGGTGGAACTAGGTGAGCTTTAAAGTCCCTTCTAACCCAAAGCACTGTGCGATTCTGTGATTTAATAACAATCTCTAGGGCATTTTAAGAAACAAGCTGTTTGAATCTCATGTGGGATTGAATCCCCTGAGTGGGACCCCCAGGGTTGAAGCCCAGGTGTTTCATGGCTGCACAATAACCTCATCTCTCCACAGAGCACAAACCAGAGGGAGCAAAACATTGCCTGGAGTGACAAGGGTCTAGGGGTGCAGCCCAGGACACAGGGGGGATCTGGGCTCAAGAGCACACTGAAGCTGGATCATGGGGAGCTTCTTGTCACCCAAAACCCCGAAGTGCTTCTCTTCACGGCTGCTCCATCCATTCTGCCCAGCCTGTGGTTGTGCTTGGGATTGAGCTGTCCCAGATGCAGGACCTTGCCCCTGCCCAACCTCATGAGGTTTGCACTGGGCCCACACATAAGGAAGGAAGCAAGGAGATAAAATCTTCATCTTTTTACTATTAAGCATCAAACAAAGAGCTTCTCCTCCCACAGGCTACCATTCAACCCAGAACTAGGCCCAGCCATTCAACAGGAAAAGACAGGCACTATCTGAGCACAGATTTGTGAGCTGCTCTGAGCAAAACGCTATGCAGGATTTAGAAGTGGACACATCCTGGCCTGTCTGATCTACACTCTCATGCCAGGTTAGTTCTCCCCGAAGAACCAAAGCTGCGCTACGGAGCACACAGAATCATATCATACAATGGTTTCTGTTGGAAGGGACCTTAAAGAGCGTTACATCTGGTTCCAACCCCCTGCCATCATAGTATTAAAAAGGCAGGGATTGACTTAAGTACAAAAGAAACATCCTGCCCAAGACAGCCTTCCGATACAGGAAAGGTCTGTCTGAATATCAAGGCTTTGCCTCTAGTGCCTCTTACAGCAGTGTCTGAGGAAAGCATCTGAACGGAAGAACAACAAGGAAAACTGCCTTTCTGGCAGGGCAGAAACACTTTTCAATACTCATTTTTCCTCACAGGGATGACAATTCCCCTCCCCAGGCCCAATGGAAAGCCTGTAAGGAAAATAACCAGTTGTTTTTCTCTGAGCTGCACCACCTCACTTGTTCAGTTTGGCAAGTGACTGGCTTCAGGTATTTCTTGTGGGAAATAGAAGTCACACCCTGGGAGATTTACTTACTTGATCAATAAACCTTTCATAGCTATTATTTAGGGTTTGAGTGGTGAGAGCAGAGTTAATTTTCCACAGAGCAAACTTCTCAAGTCCTGGGGATTTAGCAGAAAGTCCTGCAGCAAATCCAAGACAAATGACAGTCTTTCCACAACAAATCAAGCAAGCAGTGATAAAAGCCAGCTTCTCAGGCCCTGGAAATCCCACAAAACCAAGAAACTCATCATCCTCTGGTCTGCACTGACAAAAGATGAGAAAACCTGGGGATACACTCCAATGGTACCTCCAGACTCAGCACAGCTCCTGCTACAGGCTGCAGGAAGGGGCTTTGCTACTGCCATAGAAGCAGACCTGAGTAAAAGCAACTGAGCCTCAAGTCTAAGGACTTATGATCACCTCCTCTACACGTGAAGGCAAAAATCCCACCTCTTCCCTTTCACTGCCATACAGGCAGAGCAACAGGCAGCAGCAGCACATAGTGAAAGCAGAAGCCCATTTTGGATGGGTCAAGAGCAGAGGATGTCTGACACAGGGCACAGACACAGGCAAGGACCTCAGCATTCTGTGAGAGCTGTATGAAGCTCAGCAAGGCCAAGGGCAAGGATGTGCACGCGGGCTGGGGCAATTCCAGGCACAAACACAGACTGGGGGAGAATGGATTGAAAGTAGCCCTGAGAAGAAGCACATGGGGCTCTTGGTCTACAAGAAGCTCCAGTGGGCACTTGAGCCCAGAACCCCCCCGTGTGCTGGGCTGCACCCCCAGAGTGTGAGCAACAAGTCAAGAGAGGGGATTCTCCCCCTCTGCTGTGCTCTGGGGAGACACCCCACACCCCCCCACACCCCCCATACCCCCCGTAGTCCTGATCCAGCTCTGGGGCAACAGCACAAGAGGGACTTGGAGATGCTGGAGAGAGGCCGGAGGAGACTATGGAAATGCTGCGAGGCCTGGAGCAGCTCTGCTCTGGAGCCAGGCTGGTTCAGTCTGGAGAAAAGAAGGCTCCTGAAGGGGAGACCTTAGAGCAGCTCCAATGCCTAAAGAGGCTACAGGAAACCTGGAGAGGGGCTTGGGACAAGGGCCTGTAGGGACAGGACAAGGGGAATGGCTTTAACCTGCCAGAAGGGAGACCGAGATGAGCTCTTAGGCAGAAGCTCTTCCTTGTGAGGGTGCTGAGGCGCTGGCACAGGGTGCCCAGAGAAGCCATGGCTGCCCCATCCCTGGCAGTGTTCACAGCCAGGTTGGACACAGGGGCTTGGAGCAAGCTGCTCTCGTGGAAGGTGCCCCTGCCTGTGGCAGAGGTTGGGACTGGACAAGCTTTAAGGTCCCTTCCAACCCAAACCACTCTGTGATTCTATGCCAAGGCAGAGGTGTTGCTGCCCCTCTGACAAATCTCAGTTCAAGCGTTTCAAAAGATTTCCCACAAATATACCTATGAAACTTATCCTCTGCCACATCCAAATCTGACCCACAGCACATACAACTGCCACTTCTCCCCTCTGATGTGCTCGCTCCAGGATGCCAAGGTGCCCACTATATCCATGTGTTTTCCATTTTATTACATAAAATACTCTTCAAACTAATATTGCAGAGGTGAGGAAAAAACAAAAAAAAAGGAGACCTAAACCCCATACAAAGTAGGATTCTTTAAGCTAACTGAATTGATCATTTTTAGCCGCATGGCTCGATACATTTATGTGCCTTGGCTAAAAAAATCACCTTCCCAAGAAGTTTCTATTCCCAGAAGGAAAATGACACCTAGAATATCCCAGTTCTGCCTGAACATCTTTCCTAGTTAACCTCCCAGACACCAGACAGGAGGAAACCCTCGCCTTCTCATGGCCCCATCCATCAAAAGTTCCAGGGCTTTCTAATCAATGAAAGGCACACACTTTAAGAAGACAATAATAACAAACAGAAAGCCTGCCTGGCAGCGAGGAACACTGCTACGACATTCCCAGTGGAGCTGTTAAATGCACTATTAAAGTTCAAGGATTACACGAACGGAGAGCTGAAGTTCACACCCGCAGAGCTCTGGAAGCAATACTGCAGTGGCAAGAGGACAGCTAAAAAAGCTGACAACTTGGCCCTTAGCTCAGGCTCATCTCTCAGTGGCATCACTGGCAAGAACCACCTGGGGGGTCAGAAAAGTGGATTAGACCTCAGGCTGCCCACAGGAACACCACTTGGCTCCTTGCAAAACAGCCTTCTACAGGACTAACACATGCTACTTCTTGAAACAAACGTTAACTAAACTAATGATTGAGACCCAAATGTCGTGGGTAAAGTGTTTGCCTTTAGCATTTTTACGAGTTCGAACACAACCCAGATGGGCTTTAGGGATATCTCCTTATGAAATGATGTTTGGATTACCTTTTCTGACAACTCAAAAGGAGACTGCTACTTATGAGGGAGGAGATTCGAGTATCAGAAGACACAGCACCACGATAGCTCAGACTCTGGAACATTTGAGATTCAAAGGACGGATTCCCTAGTCGACGCCTCTAGACTTTAAAATTCATCACATTAATCCCGGGGAGTTGTAGCACTGGGAGGGCCATTAACCGCCGGAGCCGTTGAAGCTCTTCCCCCAGGTGTGTGTGCTCGCACACGTACGTGCCTGCGCGTGAGAACACGCGTGCAGCACCCGAGTGTGCGCGTGGGGGAGCGTGCCTGGTCGGGTCCCTTCCGGCGGCTCCCAAAAGAGCTCACTCTGGAGCCAGGAGAACTTCAGTTGCTTTTTTTAAAGCAACCGGGAGAGCTCAGCACTGTTTTCCATCCAGCCATCTCCAAGCCCGAGCACCCCTGATCCCACCAGTGAAGCACTGCGATTGGGGAGGAGAATATCCCAGCGCGAGGCTGGAGAGGTCTGCTCCTTCCGACGTTATTTGCCAGCCCCGGGCACCAGGGGAAGGAGAATGCACCTTCAGTTAAAGATGATGCAGGGAGGGGAGAGAGAAAAGGAGAGGATAAAGAGAACACGTGATGCCCCGGATTCAATCAGCCAGAAGCAAGGAGGTAGGTGCTGGTGCCCTCTCATTTTTAGATTCACAGATTTGAGGGCCAGAGGGGACCGTGATGATCATCTGGCCTGACAGTCTGTATTATGTAAAAGCCACTTGAAGCCAGACAGTGCCACCAGCTTTTTAGAAGCAACAGCAAGCACTGGGGAGCTTATAAAGACTGTGATTCTCCCAAGGTAGAGGGATGTGGGAATGCCAGCACATCCCAGGTACAGAGGAGGCCAGATACATCCACCCCAGTGGGTACCATCTGAACAGGCAATAGCACCAGGGGAAAGAAAACATCGTTTCCCTTCTGTGCCAGGCAATTCCTTTGCCTAGCAAAGAGGGATAAGCAAGCACGGAGGAAAAAAAAAGCCACCCCTTCCTTGTGTTTTCCTTTTGAACCTTGCCTGGAAAAGGGATCCCAGCCCCGGGGTGTCTCTTGGCTGCTTTTGGTGTTTGCATCCCCCGGGGTGTCTCTTGGCTGCTTTTGGTGTTTGCACCCTCTGGATCCTGAGCA